GCAGGAAAATCCCTATGGAAAAAGCAAAGGATGGAGGCTGATTCCCTCTCTGGAAGCGTCAGGAATGCTCCAAACAGCTCGGGGAGGAAAAACCATTCCAGGGGGGATGGGAATCTCTTGGGATGAACCTCCAGTGCCACCACGAGGATAAACCGGGAATGACCAGAAGGGAAAGGGAGGGACGTGCAAAAATTCCTGGATTTCGGGAGCTTCCCTGGGGCTCACCTGAAGAGCAGGGAAAAGTGGAGAATCCCAAGGGATTCCTGAGCTGTGGGAGCAGCAGGAGGAGTCTGGAGGTTGTAGCTCTGGGAAGGATCTGGAGGAATATTCCATCAGGAGATCCGGAGCAGGAGCCTGAAACACAGGGAATCATGGAATGGGATGGGGGAAGGAGCTGAAATCCCATCCCATCCCAAACCATCCATGGGCAGGGACATCTCCCACCTCCAGGTGGATCCAAGCTCCATCCAACCTGGCCTGGAACATTCCAGGGATGGAGAATCCTTAGGAATTTCCATCCCAGCCCCTGAGCCCTTCCCAGGAAGGAATTCCTTCCCAATATCCCACCTAACTCTCCCCTTTTCCAGCAGGAAACCATTCCCTGTGTCCTGTCTCTCCATCCCTTATCCCAAATCCTTCAGGCCCTGGAAGCAGCTCCAAGGTTTTCCTGGATCCTTCCCATCACACATTTCCCTTCTCCCTCTCCGTATTCCTTGAGGAATCCAGGAAAATTCCATTAAGGAGCAAGGGAAGCAGATCCAGGTGTTTCCCATCCCACAGACTCCTCCAGGAAGTGCCACATTCCTTTCCCTCTGGAGCTTGGGATACACCTGCACTTCCCTGGGGAGCCAAGGTGATTGGAATTCCCCTGGAATGAGTTCCCTGGGAAAAAAAAAAGAGCAGGATTTAAACCCTCCAAGACAGGAATTCAGGAGCAGCTTCAGGTCTGTTTATTCCAAGGATGTTATTCCCAAGTGGCCTGGATGGAACCTCGGGATGGATCCAAGGGGAAGGGAAGGGATTGTCCTGGGAAAAGGTTTGGGTGGATAATGGGAAAAGGTTCATTTTCCAGAGGGTGTTTAGGGCACTGGAACAGCTCCACAGGGAATGGTCTCTGCTCCAAGATTCCAGAGGTCAGGAAGTCTTGGCTGGAATTTTGGCATGAGTGAGATGTTGATCCTTGTGGGTCTCTTCCAGCTCCAAACATTCCATGGCTCTGTGATCCTCGGGAGTCTCTTCCAGCTCTGCATATTCCATGATTCCATAGGGTCAGGGAGTACCTGGACTTTGGGATGAGTGGGATTTTGGGAGTGTTCCCAGGCTTGAGTTGGACTTTATCCTGGCAGATCCCAATGGGGAATTAGGAATTCCCAGGTCCAAATCCTGAGGGAATCAGGGCCTGATCCCATTTGGGATCTAAGAATTCCCAGATCCAATTCCTCAGGGAAATCAAGGCCTGATCCCAACTGGGAGTTAGGAATTCCCAGATCCAGCTCCTGAGGGGAATCAAGTCCTGATCCCAACTGGGAGTTAGGAATTCCCAGATCCAACTCCTCAGGGAATCAAGTCCTGGTCCCAACAGGAGTTAGGAACTCCCAGGTCCAATTCCTGAGGGAATCAAGTCCTGACCCTCCAGCC